TTATATACACATATTATAGGGAGTGTGGTAGAGGATGACATATGTTACGACGTACTCAAGGTTTTAGATTCACACATTATAGTCAGTGTAGTAGACGATGAACTAGGATATGACGTACTCAAGGTTGTAGATACACACATTATATGGAGTGTGGTAGACAATGACCTAAAATACGACGTACTCAAGGTTTTAGATACACACATTATAGTCAGTGTGGTAGACGGTGATATAGGATATGACGTACTCAAGGTTTTAGATTCACACAGTATAGTCAGTGTGGTAGACGATGACCTAACATATGACGTACTCAAGGTTTTAGATACACACATTATAGTCAGTGTAATAGACCATTACTTAGGATATGACGTACTCAAGGTTTTAGATTCACACATTATAATCAGTGTGGTAGACGATGAACTAGGATATGACGTACTCAAGGTTGTAGATAGACACATTATATGGAGTGTGGTAGACAATGACCTAAAATACGACGTACTCAAGGTTTTAGAAACACACATTATAGTCAGTGTGGTAGACGATGATATAGGATATGGCGTACTCAAAGTTTTAGATACACACATTACATGGAGTGTGGTAGACAATGACATATGATACGACATACTCAAGGTATAGTCAGTGTGGTAGACGATGACATAGATATGGCATACTCAAAGTTTTAGACACACACATTATAGCCAGTGTGGTAGACAATGACATATGATACGACATACTCAAGGTTATAGATACACACATTATAGTCAGTGAGGTAGATGATGACATAGGATACAACATACTCAAGGTTTTAGATACACACATTATAGCCAGTGTGGTAGACGATGACATATGTTACGACGTACTCAAGGTTTTAGATTCACACATTATAATCAGTGTGGTAGACGATGAACTAGGATATGACGTACTCAAGGTTGTAGATACACACATTATATGGAGTGTGGTAGACGATGACCTAAAATACGACGTACTCAAGGTTATATATACACACATTATAGTCAATGTGGTAGACGATGACCTACGGATACGTGTACTCAATGTTTTATACACACACAATAAAGGGAGTGTGGTAGACAATGACACAGGATACAACATACTCAAGGTTTTAGATACAAATATCATAGCCAGTGTGGTAGACGATGACCTAGCATATGACATAATCAAGGTTTTAGATAGACACATGTCAGTCAGTGTGGATAGACGTTGGCCTAGGATATGGCGTACTCAAGGTTTTAGATACATACATTATAGTCAGGATAGTAGACGATGACCAAGGATACAAGGTACACAAGGTTTTAGATACACACATTATATGGAGTGTGGTAGACGATGACCTAGGATACAACATACTCAAGTTTATAGACACACAG